TTGAGAGGAGAGTGAGTTCCAAACTCAGCTCTACCTGTCAGAAGCTTACAGATCTGAGACTGGCAGTATTTTTCCAAGGCCAGCTTCCTCCTAGAGGTCAAGGGCATCCCATTTCAAACTGTGCACTACTCAAGCTCTTACTTTACCCTGATACTAGCAGATTTCTCCAGGCAGTGTGGTACTGGAGAACTGTGTAATTAATGTGCATTTGTTTCAGGCACAGGATCTGGGAGCATCTCAGTGTTCAAAGGCCATCTTCTGAGTAAGGGGATCCAAGGCTTCAGGGGAAATGGACAGTCCTATCAGGAAGAGTATCAGGAGAATTAGAGGTGCCAGATGGGAGAGCAAGGAGAGGCAGCAAGTCCAAGGGGAGAAAGAAATCACAGTGAGGGTCTCAAGTCTCCTGAGGGAGGGTCTGGACGTAGCAACAAAAAAGACAAAATTGAACAAACGATTAACCAACACATAAAAAAGGAATGTTCATTCCCACAGGCTCTTACATGAATGTTCTGTATTTGTATGTGTATGAGAGAGAGAGAGAGAGAAAGAGAGAAAGAGAGTAGGAGAAAGAGAGAATGCATATGTGTAAGTAAAAGGGAGAGGAGGAGGGAGTAACGGAAGGAGAAAAAGAGAATGAGAGATTACTTTTACTTATTACATCTTAAGGCATAGTGAAATAATTAATGGAATCTCAAAGGACACTGACAACATAGTACAATACCACACTAAGGGCTTCCATCCCAATGCGTATTAATATAACACCATAGGAAAACTGTGAGCTTTTCACAGTATGGGGAAAGAAGCAGTAGAGAAGAAGTGTGGCTCAGAAGTACCAATCCTCTGTGGTGGTGGGGAGGGCTTGGCAGAAGTGAGCTCTTGGCACACCTGAGCCCCACTATTACCGCTGCCCAGGCCAAGTTCCAGACAAAGAACACACTCATTGCCTAACAGACTCTTCACCCTCACACTGGAATTTAAACTGTCAAAAATAACTACAGTCTTATTTATTCTCTAATAATACGGCTGCTATAGTGGAGGATGGAGCATGGTGGGATCTACAAGTTTATAGTTTCCATTCTTTGCCTTGGCTCTTCTGCAGCTCCCTTGTATCAACAGGGGAAATTCCTTATTAGAGTTGGGTTTGGGGGAGAGGGAGGGAGAGGGGAGTTCAATTTGTTTTGGGGTTTTGGGGGGGAGGGGGTAGTACTGAGTTCTGAACTCAGGGGTTTGCATTTGTTAGGCAGGCTCTCTACCACCTGAATCATACCTTTCGCCTTTTTTGTGCTGGTGATTTTTGAGATAAGGTCTTGCTTGCTCTATGCTAGGGCTAGCCTAGAACTATACAAATCTTCTCAATCTCTGCCTTCCATATAGCTAAGATTAGAGGCCTGAGCCACTAGGCTGGGCTGCAAAACTGCTTTTTAAATCTGATCTAAGAAAAAGGTGCACTCATTTTTTTTTTCCAAACGAATATAAATCTGGAAACGGCTTCACAATTCAGTTGACAAATTCCTCCCCCACTCCACTCCCATCCTCCCATCTCCCCTCTTCAGATTTACAAATCATAGACATACAAATCCTTGAACTTTACCATAATTCCATATTGCTTTATAATAATGACAAAGATTATGAGAACTGGATTTACAACACAAAGAATGCTTATTTGGCTTTGCCAAGGGGTCATGTTTGAGTTTCTCTCAATGGGAGATTCCTCTGTTTTGTTCACAATGAGGAAAAGCCACATTAGCTTTTCAGAAACAGAAGGAGCATCATAAATCAAAAGTCCACTTACACTGTTATTAAAGGTAGCACCAGAGCCTTTCTGTTACCACCCTATCGATCTTCACAAATGTTACAACCCTATCAGTCTTCTTCTTAAAGGAAAAATAAATAAAGGAGTCCTTCATCCATTGGCACTGTCAATCATTCAACAGTAAGTCCTTACAGATCAGAGTAAAAACCTGTGGGATTCCTCCAGAACAATAGGCCTAGCATTGTTTCAAAGGCAGAGATTTCTAAACAAAAAGGCAAGATAAAACATATACATAGTTAACTCAAACAGAACAATCCAGTTAACAAACAGGACACTGGGCCCAACATGCAGTAGGACACCAGGGCACCAAGGAAGCGAAAGTCCCTTTCTGGGTAGAGTACCAGGTGACATGAGATAAGCATTTTCTAGTTCCCTAGCAAATGAGTCAGCAAGAGACAAGAACCAGGAAGGAAGGAAAAAACTCACAAACTGGCTGTCCAACCAAGAGGGCTGAGTGCTAGAGCTACTAAGGATGCAAAGGCTTTCCTGCTTGGGACTACAGTCAGAGGTAATGGTACAATGCTAAACCTACAAGGGGCAGGGCTCCACCAAAGCACTTTTAGGTACACTCAACCCGAGTCTGTGGCATATCCCCATGACCATGAGTTTGAAATATTTTGACCCTCCTACATACTAAGAATGCCAAAGTTCTTTTTGCTTACATGGGTTATATCCATTAATACCATTGACAGCAGCATTACTAATTCATTTAAAAATAGAGTACCTGGGCCATATGCATCTGTACACAGACCAACTGACTATAAAGTATGGCATACACAGGGGAGGATTCCACTGGACCCAGGTAACTTGTCCTCAAATTATCTTGGGTGTGGTTGGGATACATGGGTGAGATGCATGGAGAGGGTGTCACTGATCAAAATACATTGCATTCATACACTTACTTGTTGAATTGAAACCCCTTCGTGCCGATTAAAGACAGCTTTAAAAATGAAATAAAAAATAAGTGATAATATTATACCTATTCCATCTATGCATCAGCATTTTCACTATTAACACTGTTTCCCAAAGGCAAAGAAGTCAGTGAAAAATGGCCTTGTGTTGATTTTGCAATTCTCCTTAACGTTTGGCCTGACAGAAGGCAGAACTGGACTCCCCTTTGGTCTGCCTTTGGTCTGCTATTCAGTTTCCCATCACAGGGACTCAGGGAAACTTCACTGCAGTCTTAGGAGAATGAGAATTACAAGGGCAAGTTCCATCTTAGTGCTGTTTTGACCTTGCAAATCTCCCCAAAGAGATCCTGGAGGACCCCTAGGGGTACCAGGGCTGCACTTTAAGAACACTTGCCTTACAGGTTAGGAGCAAGTGCAGAGAAAGGGGGCCAAGGAGTCATCTCAGCAGGAGGGGCTGTTGGAGCGGCTCCGGGCAGGGCAAGTGCAGTCGTGACCACCGTGTCTGGCTGTGCCACGAAGGGATGAGACGCCGAGGGTACGGGGCTGGCCTGCCGGACGGCCGGCCTTAAAATGGGCTACAACATATCCTTGAGGAGCAGCCTGGTGGAAACAGCGGGAACAGCAGCGAAGACTCTCCTCAGGTGGCTGGGGTCAGACGACAGGGCGTCCCTTCCTCCCGGAGCCTCCGGGAGCGGGCAGAGCGGCACCGCCAACGAACGCGGGCCGCTACTCCACCCTCCATTAGGCAAATGAGCTGGCGGCCTGGGAATAGCATCACCTGCGCGCGGCGTCGGCGCGCTCCTTCCTTGGAAACTTGAGCAGGCCAACCGAGCTGCTCCATTATTTACCGCGTCCCTTGCGCACGGGGCTGCATGGACAGGGGACCCTCCGCGCACAAGCAAAGTGGGCCTGCCGCGGGCCGTGGGGCCTCGCCTAGGAGCTCCACCCGTGGACCGTCCCGGGCAGCGGCCGCGTCCATCCGTTTTCTTGGCCCACGGAGCGCCCGCCCACCGCTTCCCCCCACGGATTTGCGAAGTGAGCGCACGTGGGGCGGCGCGGGACGGGCGCGGCTCCGGGGCGCCTCCCACCTCCCGCACCAAGCCCGCACAGTCGCTCAGACACCCCCTATCCCCCCACCTCCAAGTTTGTTCAGCTGGAACCAAAACCAAAACTCCTCACGGGTTCAGAAAAACCTGGCTCCTCCGGCCCCGCCGCCTCCCCGCTCTTCCCGCCCGCAGAGCGCCCCGGCCCCGCCGCCTCTCCATCTTCCCGCCCGCAGAGCGCCCCCGGACCCGCAGCCTCCCCGCCCGCAGAGCGCCCCCGGACCCGCCGCCTCCCCGTCTTCCCGCCCGCAGAGCGCCCCCGGGACCCGCCGCCTCCCTGCTCTTCCCGCCCCGCAGAGCGCCCCCGGCCCCGCCGCCTCCCTGCTCTTCCCGCCCGCAGAGCGCCCCCGGACCCGCAGCCTCCCCGCTCTTCCCGCCCGCAGAGCGCCCCCGGCCCCGCCGCCTCCCCGCTCTTCCCGCCCGCAGAGCGCCCCCGGACCCGCAGCCTCCCCGCTCTTCCCGCCCGCAGAGCGCCCCCGGCCCCGCCGCCTCCCCGCTCTTCCCGCCCCGCAGAGCGCCCCCGGGACCCGCCGCCTCCCTGCTCTTCCCGCCCGCAGAGCGCTCCTGGCCCCGCAGCCTCCCCGCTCTTCCCGCCCGCAGAGCGCCCCCGGACCCGCCGCCTCCCCGTCTTCCCGCCCCGCAGAGCGCCCCGGCCCCGCCGCCTCCCCGCTCTTCCCGCCCGCAGAGCGCCCCGGCCCCGCCGCCTCCCCGCTCTTCCCGCCCCGCAGAGCGCCCCCGGCCCCGCCGCCTCCCCGCTCTTCCCGCCCGCAGAGCGCCCCCGGGACCCGCCGCGTCTCAGCGATCGCCACGCGGGGGGGGGGGGGGGGTCCCCTATCCTTCTTTACTTGTCAACCGCGTCTCCTTCCCGCCCGAGCCGGGAAGCTCCGTGGGCGCAGGGCTCCACAGGTCCCCCGCGCCGTGCCCGGCGCTTGGCACCGTGCCTGGCGCCGACGGGGCGCCCGGCAAGCCGAACAGGACGAACGCGGCTGCCGCGCTGGTGTGTGTATGGTTGGGGGGGGGGGCGGCCACCCCTGGAGCCTGCGGGGTCGCGAGCTGCAGGGCCCCGGGGCGCCACCCCCACCCCGCACCCCTTCCGGCCGCGCGCCAGGCCCCTGGCGCCGCAGGTGTCCCTGGGTCGCCGCCGCCGCCGCCGCGCCGCCCGCCGGGACTCACCATGGTGACCCGGACCCCGCCGCCACCTGCGCCCGGAGATCCGCCAGCGCCCCGGCCCGCGCGGCTGACAGGTGAGGCGGGCGCCTCAGACCATGGCTGCTTCCCACAATGCCCTTGAACTGAAAGTTACAGACTCCTCCCCCTCCCGCCTCCCCCCCCCATCCTTCTCTTCCTCTCCTCCCTCCCCTGATCCCTCATCTTCCTCACCTTCCCCCGTCCCCCCCGTCCCCGGACCCCTGCCCCGCCCGGTGCCGGTGGCACAGGTGTGACTGACCCGCCTCTCCCGGGCCCGGAACTCCGGGCGGACGGGCGCGGGTTCCGCAGCCTGCACGTGGCAGCCCGGCCAAGGTCCCGCTGAGCCTGGCGCCACTGTCTGGTCCTGAACCTGGTCTGGAGGCGGCGGCCGGTCCGCAGCGCTGAGGTCGGAAGCTGGGCCTCCCCTTCCCGGCTCCACGTCTGTCCAGGATCGCAGATCCTTCTCCTCGTCCCTTCTTTCTAAAGGTCGCCGTACAGGGTGCGCTGGTTCCTTGGAGATGGGGTCTCGCTGACTTCTTCCTCCTCGGGCTGGCTTCTAACGGGATCCTCCGGATCTCAGCCTCCTGAGTAGCTGGGATTACAGGAAGGCGCCGCAGGTGCCTGGCTCTTCCTGAGTTTTAAGGCTAGGTTTTTATCTGGGGCGTATTAGGACTCTCCACCCCCTTGAGTTGTAAGCAGGGTACTGATTTGTGTTCTTTCGTAGAAAAGGAATGAATAGGTTTTATCAAATACCCCCAAAAGGTCATATGACCCTTTTGGCCTTTGACTGACCACCCCCCCTCCCCGCCACTTCCCCCATCTCCAAAAAGGAGAACATCCTGGCCAGGATTTATTGTGAACTTTATTCTGTCCTGCGAGCCACCTCAGAGTGCAGCAAAGTAAACGGAGGCCACAGACAGCAGGCCAGATTAGGGCCACAAGTATTTACTATTAACCCCCCAGGGATCCCACCGTGGGGGGGGCACAAAATTTTAATACTAAGCTGGTAGAGGGGGCTAACAAAGATTTGATAATGGGAGGCTAGGGAAGGCTGCACCTCTGGGGAGAGTTGTAATGGACAGACACCAAAAGCCTGCTACAACCCACCCCAAAAGCCCTGGGGTTCCACAGCCTCAGTTTCCCCAGAACCCGAGGCTTCCAGGTCCCCTATAGCCAGGTGATCCTTTTCAGCATGGTGGTGTAGCCTCTTCCTGGACAGGGGAGGAAGATAACTTGATGCTGGGAAACCTCAAGAGGTGTGGATTGGTTTTGTCTGGAAGAAAAGGGACCCTCCCTGGGAAAGCTGCTTTCTAAATCCTGGCATTCCCCACCCTGGCCCAGGCTCCCCAGCCTTGGGCACACACACACCCTTACCTTTCTTTTTCTTCTATAGCTAACTTAATGTCAGGACCCAGTTCTGTGCATTCACCTTGGTGAGCCTGGAAAAAGCACCCAGAGCCTTTGCTGTGAGAGAGAGAGAGAGAGAGAGAGAGAGGGTGTGTGTGTGTGTGTGTGTGTGTGTGTGTGTGTGTGTGTGTGTGTGTGTGTGTGTGTGTGTGTGTGTGTGTGTGTGTGTGTGTGTGTGTGTGTGTGTGTGTGTGTGTGTGTGTGTGTGTGTGTGTGTGTACTTTAACTCAGGGCCTCCTATGGTGAGCCTGGAAAAAGCACCCAGAGCCTTTGCTGTGAGAGAGAGAGAGAGAGAGAGAGAGAGAGAGAGGGTGTGTGTGTGTGTGTGTGTGTGTGTGTGTGTGTGTACTTTAACTCAGGGCCTCCTATTCTCCCTTGGCGTTTCCCTCTGAGTGGTGTTACATCCTATACGTTTTGCTGGCTAACTGGAGACTTCAGACTTCTGCCCAGGCTGACTTCAAACCTCAATCCTCAGGTCTAGCCTGAGTAGCTAGGATTATGGGGAATTTTAAAGCTAAAGAAATGCCGATGCTCTTGACATGCCTGTTAAGTCACACATTAAAAAAGGAGAAAGTTCCCTTACTGTGCTGTGTTGGAACTTCATTCTTAAAGGGGTGATATTGATCCAGATGCATTGTACTCATAAAGTGGTGGCTCAGACCTCTAATCCTAGTTACTGAGATCTGAGGATACCAGTTTGAAGTCAGCTTGGGCAAGAAAGTCCATGAGACTCTTATCTACAATAAACCAGCAAAAACAAGCCAGAAGTGGAGCTGTGGATCAACTTCCAGCACTTAGGCCCTGAGGTCAAGAGGGAGGGAGGAAGAGAGGGAGGGAGGGAAGAAGGGAGGGAGGGAGGGAAGAATGAACAAACCACTGGAGCTGGGTAAGGTAACTCACTCCTGTAATCCTAGCTACTTGGGAGGTGGAGATCAGAGAGAGAGATCACTGTTGTAGGCCAACCTAGACAAAAAGTTTGTAAGATTCCTTGTCAACTATTAGCCAGACACAGTGGTACACACCTGTTATTCCAGCTGCACTGAAGCACAACAAGAGAACTGAGGGCCAGGGCACCCAGTACATACATAGAGACCTTTTCTCAAAAAAAAAAAAAAAAAATGGACCTGGTGCTAAGCAAGCAAGCCACTGGGCTCTCAGTTCAAACCCCAACACCACCACCACCACAAAAAATAAATAATATGTAAAGATAAAGAGAAAAGGACAGGGAAGTGGCGTTGTGGCTCAAGTGGTAGAGCACTAGCCTTGAGCTGAAGAGCTGAGGGACAGCCCTCAGGCCCAGAGTTCAAGCCCCACAACCGACAAAAAAAAAGCCAATGCTTTGTTTGCTATATTTTCTTTCAGATGTGCATTCTTTATGAGGAGGGGATTTCATTTTTTAAATAAAAATGTAATCCTGTTTATGATCTGAATGTGCCTTCTAGAATCACAAGCAAGTCCCCTTGCAAGAATTCTAAGATGTGGAGGGTCTTCATGCTTAGTGCCTTATAAAGGGGCTGGTGAAGATGCATTTAGCCCACATAAGGAATTATAAAATTATAATGTTTTCAGGCCTAAATATCAAATATGTTTCAGGCCTTTATCCTGTATACCACATGAAGAAAATATTGGCCCCTTGGGAGAATTCATCATTCAAGGCTTCACCTTGGCTAGGTACAGGTGTCTCACACTTGCTACACCTGAGACTGAAATCAGGAAGATCACAGTTCAAAGCCAGCCTTGCTGAAAAGTCTCCTGGACTACACCTGCAGAATGGCCAGCAAAATGCAGGGCTGGAGACATTGTTCCAGTGACAGACTCCCATCTGAGCAAGTGTGAAGCCCTGAATTCACACCCCAGAACAAGCAATTCCCACTTGATTTTAACTGAGCAAAATTGACAAGACTGCTGTCTGAACGAATTCTCACACTAATCTAAATGGTCTGTGGCTCCCTAGAAACCTCACTGCAGCACTCCCCTCAAAGGTGCCCCCCTTTCAATGGTCTGGTTCTGTACCTTCCCTTCTGTCTTCCCTGAGAAAACACAAGCAGTCAAAAGAGGGCTTTCTTCCACGAGGGGCTTGGTTCCAGTGGTATAGCACCTGCCTAGCAGGTGCATGGTCCTGAGTTCAAACCCTAATGCCACCAAAAGGAAAGAGAACAAAGAGGAGGGGGAGAGGGAGAGGGAGAGAGACAGAGACAGAGACAGAGCAGAGACAGAGAGACAGAGACAGAAAGACAGAGACAGAGAGAGACAGAGAGAGAAAGAGAAAGAATTTTCCCACTGCTATACTACCTATGGTCCCAGGCTTTCCACTTTCCCCTACCTCGTAAGGATGATGTAGGGTCATCTGGGCGGGTCCTTTGCTGGTTACAGGCCACACCCTCCCACACAAACGTCATGTTTGGCAATGGCTGCTCTCACTCAGCCATTTTATCCTTGCCTAGACAGTCAGTACCATCCCCAGTGCTTGAAACCAAACACAAACTTGCTTGGCCTCATCTTTCCTCTCTCTTTGCTCTCCATATAGAGTGATGCCTCAGTCACCTGACTCATCTGTATCCTCCCTCATCTGCAATCCTTAAACACACTCCAGGAAACGTCTGCCACTACCACTTCACCAAACTGCCCTTCCAAGATCAGCACTAAGCTTTTACTGCCCACGCAGCGGGCCTGCCATGAGTCTTCACTGCACTACAACCCTCACTTAACAGAACTTCTCTCCCTCACCCCCAATCCCAGGAAACACCATTCTCTGGCACTTCCTCTCCTTCCTGTTCCTATCCTCTTACCTTTGCTCAGTCCCATGTGAGCCAAGCTTCTATCCATTGTCATACTTGGCTTGGTTTTAGGATTTCTGTCTATCCTACTCTTAGAACAGTGGGCATAGGGGTTGAAGGCATGGCTCAGTTGGTAGAGCACTAACCAATGAGCCAAAGTGTCAGGTACTAAATTTGAGTTCCAGTCTTGGACCTAAACAAACAATGAGTTTTTCAAAGCCACTGGTGTGGTATAAACCAATCTTTAAAGGAGCTTTTTGCCAGTCAGTATAGAGGAGGAGAAGCCACTGAAGAGTTTCAAGATTGGAGGATGGAAGAATTGGGCAAGGGGCCAGTGCACAGCTGGATTAAAGGAGATTAACTGGAGAAGGTATTTGGCTGTCTGCCCTATATCAAGACATCTAGACTAGAAGTAATTGTTCAAACAATAAAGTGCTCAACTGTGTGGTGCTTTGAGCTTACAGAAGTAATGGGCAATCTGTCCCAGAGATTCAGTGTGTATGTGTGTGACTTTTCACCTGTGTGTGGAAGTGCACATGCACACGTATGCACACACAGGTTCATTTCAGTCACCAGTCACTGCAAACCAGCCAGGATTTAGAGGAAGAGGTGGCTCTTTTGCTGTTGGCTCAAGCCTGTCATCCTAGGTAATCAAGAGGCAGATATCTAAGGATTGTGGTTCAAAGCTAGGCCAGGGACAAGAGCCTGAGAGGTTCATCTCTGATTAACCAACAAAAAGTTAGAACTGGAGGTGTGGCTCAATTGGTAGAGCTCCAACCTAGAGCAGAAAAGAGAAAAGAGCTCAAGGCACTGAGTTCAAACCCCATTACCAGCACAAAAATGGAGGAATGCAAAGCTCCAGACTCAAGAGCCATGGTGAGAGCAAGATAGACCCTTGAGGGTGAGGAGAAGCCAGCCAGTCAGATGCTACAAGCTGCATCACCTAGCATGTTCCCTGCAGTAGGCCCACTGGATGGATCTCTTTGTTAGGAAAAGGCATGGAATGCTAAACTTGTTGGTTCATACATAATTTAATTCTGTCCATTATCTCTAGAGACCAAATATTTGCTAAAAAAAAAAAAAAAAGCAAATAAACAACAACAAACCCACAGGTCTATATGCTCCATACACATACCATGGAGAATTCTTTGGTCTACCATCTCTTCCTGGCTCCTGAGGAATTTGTAAGACACAGTGAGCATGTGCCATGACTACAGGGTAAGACAAATACCCGCCCCCCATCCCTTCCCCTCCTAATCAGAGTCTTAATGTTAGCTTAATCCAGTTGACCTCTCTCAATACTGATTAAGACCACACAGATGTTACTTTAGCACACTTCAAACCCCCCATTGTCTCTGGAAAGTAAACAGGGTGTGTGGCCAAAGGCCAGGGGGGATCTTTCATCTGTGTGCTCATTCAAAGCTCTTCAGATGCCTATTGAATTCTTACCAGGCATCTCTGGAATCTGAAAATAGACAGGACTTACTTGGCTTCATCACACAAGACCCATCAGGAAGCAAACAGGTCTCCTTTTTCCTTTAGAATAGGGCTTCATCCTCAGGGGACCCAGAATCAGGTTAAAGACTAATAAATCAAAGAGAAGCAAGCCTGGGACTACAGCTTCTGGGCTTCTCATCTCTTAGTCTGGAGGAGTATGTGCTACTTCAACAATGCATTCCCAAGCTTCTCACAGCCACATCTGAAAGAGAAAAGAAATGGCATGCAGGTGCACGTTAGAGGTGGGCTGGCAACTTCAGCCCAGTTGAAAAGCACACAGGTGCATGTTCAGATGTTGGTCCTTGATGTGGTTCTACAGGTGGCAGTGGTGATCTGGCCTCCCCACTCCGGGTCTCAGATTCAAAGAGTTGGAATCCTTACCTGCTGCAGGCAGCCCTGGTCTGACTTTTGCTACCATTTGCTCCCTCCCCATAGCCATCCAACTTCAGGATTCAGAATGCCTAAACTCTTGTCCCTCTCAGGAAAGTTCTTGTGGCTGTGGAACTGGTGCAGTGACACACACCTGTGAGCTGTGGATGACTTTGACAAGTCTCCCAAGACACAAGAGAGACAGACAGTGTGGGTGAACACAATCATAATATTCAATGTACACATGCAAAAATGGTACCAGGCAACTTGAGAGGATGTGTGGGGTTAGGAGAGATGGGAGTACTCAGAAATCGATACATTGACTTGAAGCTCCTTTGTACAACTACTTAAAGATAGCGTAGCATGTGAAGACAATATTAAGATAGGAGTATATGTGAGATGGCATACACCTATAATCCCACCAAGCCAGGAAATGGAGGCAGGAGAATCATAAGTTCAAGTTCTGCTTAGGCAAAGTTTACAAACCTTCTGCTCTTTTGATGCCATGTTTTAATCACTGGATGAATTGAATAGCTGCCAGGAACTCACTTAGCAATGTAGGTTTTTCTCTGTAGATCCTTCCTTATCTGTGTCCATAAATCATGTTAATTTCTCTCCTGCATTTTGGAAGACATTGAGATTTTTCCACAAGTTCTGTGTACATGATTATTCCACTCCTATAGTTGATAAAATTGAGACTCAGAATGGTTAAACAACATGGAAAGGTTATATAAAGCCTAGCATGGTTGTTCCTGCCTGTAATCCCAGTACTTAGGAGGTAGAAGCAGGAGGATAGTGAGTTCAAAACCAGCCTGGTCTGCATGGTGACATGTTTCCTCAAAAACTAAACTTAAAAAATTATCTGGTAAGTGAATATAGTCATAATGCTCAATGTGCATTTGCCAAAATGGAAGCAGGTAGTTTGAAGGGATGGGGTGTGGGGAAGGGATGATGGAAGAGGCAGCGTTGATCAAGATGCATTGTACTTGTAAAATGACATGTTGAATTAAAGCCCCTTTGTACAACTATTTAGAAAAATAAAAATTTCAAAATCCTCTCACTAGGAAGATGGAGACAGTGCTGAGATTCGGATTCTGGTTCTCCTGGTGTCAGAGCCAGTCATCTTTCCTGTTGTTATTCTGCAGCTTCCACCATGTGCACATCAAGACTTTGAGCTTTCCTTCCTTCTTGTGCTTTTCATTCCCAGTTCACTTGGCTGTACTTTTTCTAGCCAAACTGTACTAGTCAGACTCCTGTCACTCTAACAAAATACCAGAGGCAATTAACTTCTAAAGAGAAAAGGTTGCTTGTGGCTCACTGTCCGTAGTTGTGGGTCTCATTGTTCTGCACCTCTACTGAGGTAGCAGTGTACCCCAGAGCAAACTGCTCACCTCTTGATCAGGAAGACAAAGGAGCGGGGAGGGGGGGCAGCCCAATGACATAAGGAGCTTACACTAGGTCCTGTCTCCTAAAAGTTTCACCATCTCCCAATAACACCAACTTGGAGATGGAACATTTAACACATAGATTTCAAGGGGACATTTAACCCTGAAATACAGCACATCTTTCACATCTGTGGGCAAAATTTTGAACCTAACACATGCTTTTCCACCTTGAGGTATGGACACAGGCCAGAGGACCACTCAAACTTCCTGGGGGGAAAGTTCCCCTGAGACTGTGGAAGAGCCCTGAGAGCCAGCGTGCTTGGGCTTGGCATCACACATTATCCTAGAGGGAACCTGCTCCAGCACAGTTTAGTTCACATGTGCCCCAAGGCCTCGGTGGAGAGCTCAGATTCGCCTACAACCTAACCTCTTAGTGCCTGGGTTTTCCTGTCTGTAAATGACATGGTGGTAGTACCTGATTTGCAGTTTCATTGTAAGAATTAATGACACTCATACCTGAAATTATTTAGCATGCTCCCTGTAATTTTAAAAAATGAATGAGCAGATCTGACCAATTGGAAAGTGTGTGCACCACTGTCTCAGGCAGACAGGAAGATCTCACTAGGGCAGCGTCCATCCTGGGGATAGGGGAGGAGCTATAACTCCCATTCTCTTCTCTGCCAGTGACAACCACGCTCAGCAGGCTCCAAAAATGAGTTCTTTTGCAGTTCAGTTTGTCCCAACTCCTCAGAGATCTGCTTTACGGTCAGTTTCCTGAAGCCCTACTGGCTGCAGGGAACAGAATGTCTTAGTCGTGGCAAAGGGCATGCATTATTTTTTTCATACCAATAATTATACTGAATTTATGTTAATATACTACACTTTTAAACATAAACAAGAAGAGAACTAGCATTATTTATTAATAATCATTATGATTTGTGATTCCTAGATCTGCTTCTTCTATTCACAAGTACCATGTCTGTCAAGTATTAGTTATTTCCTTGGCATGCCCAACTCAGCAAGCCTAATTGAAATCTCCCTACTTGGCCAAGACTGTTTCCATGCATGGGGCCACGAAGTGTTCAGAACTAACTGGAGAACAACATGCAGTTGGAAATTGTGATAGCGTATGTGGAGGATAAAACTTGGGTACAGTGACAGGGGATAGTGGGTGGTGTGCTTAGCTAGGGAATTCAGAAAGGGACTCTTTGAGAAAGGACCTGAAGCCTGAAAAAAATCAGCTACATGAAGGGTGGGGGGCGGGGGGAGAAGCCAAGGGACTATGCTAAAATAAGCAGGGAGTAGGTGATAGAAGATCTAGCCCAAAGTAGGCCTATAGCCACTGATAAAGAGCTAGGATTTTATTAGCAAAAGATTCTTTTTCTTTAGCTCTCTGTGCTAATGGCAAATGGCAACTAATAGTCATTAGTCCTCACAAGGAAAAAAAATAAACAGTGCAGGGATGTAGCTCAGAGGGAGAGCACTTATCTAGCATATGCAAGGCCCTGTCTTCAATTCTAAGCACTGCAAAAACAATCCATGGACAAAATCCTGGTTCCACACTCACCTACCTTGGCTTCTTTTGTGGCACTGTGGCTTTGAACTCACGGTATTATATTTGCTAAGTTTGTGCTTTACCACTGAGCCAACTTCCAGATGTGTATTTTTTTCTTTTTATTTATTTATTTATTTTTATTGTGAAAATACTGTACAGAGGGGTTACTATTACATGGGCAAGATAATGAGTACATTTCTTATCAAGCATTGTAGCCTCCTCCTTTGTTTCCCCTTCCCATCCCTTCCCTTCCTCCCCCTACCCCCCCCCCCACCAAAGTTGTAAAGTTCATTTTCGACATAACGACTTGTCAGATGTGTATTTTTTTGCTATTTTTAATTAGCATACATTAGTTGTACAAGGGGACGTTTATTGTAACATTTCTACATATGTATACAATCAGATCAACGTCTGCATTGTTTTGTTTTGCTTTGTTTGATATAGGGTCTTGGCCTCCTACTTGGACAAGCTCCTGGACAGGAAACTGTATTTAGTCCTGCATCATAGCTAACATGACAGGCATGTCACCATATCCATCTTCTATTGAGACAGTATTGGGACCTTTCTGATCTAGAACTGTAATTCTCCAAATAGCACCCTCTTACAAAGCTGTGTGCCACTGTGTCCAACTTTACTGCCTAGCCAGGCTGACCTTGAATCACAATCCTCTTGCCCTCAGCCTCTAAAGTAACTAGAATTACTGCAGGTGTGAACCACTGATGCCCAGCTATACTACCCTACTTCTCATTTTTCAAACGAGGTCACCCATCCCAGCCCTTGGCAGCTGGAAATTCACTTCCGTGAGCCTTTTTCTATGCAACTCAGGAAAACATTTTCTTGGACACGGTTATTAGGCGTTTGCCCTATTTTCATTGTTCTTTGTCATCTTTGATCAATAATGTGGATAATTGATGTTCTTGCATCAAACCTATACTTTCAAGAAAAATGGGACTCTGGTATCTCACAGTTGGATATTTGGTAAAATGAGGCTCCCAGAGCAGTAAAGAATTTTTTTTTTTTTTACTTTCTTGGCCTTTATAGTCTAGATTCGAATAGTGTCCATAGAATTGAGTGTTTGTGGCTTTTAAGGTCAGTCAAGGTACAGCAGTGACCTCTTGTGTTCATTTTGAGTAACAGCTATTAGTAAGCATTCCACTCTTCGGTCCTCTCCCCTCCCCAACTCCTCATCTCTTTATCCCCCACCCCACATCTGAAAAAAGTTAACATTTTAATGTGGGAACATATTCTACATGAACTAGCACCATTCTTAAGAAGGCATTTTATTTGTTCATTTACTGAATGACTATATTTAGTTGACATCTTTTCCAAGTATAACTAATGCACAGGAAGTCAGCACACTGGGCTTCAGTGCTATCATCTGTAACATCAGCACATTTTAGACCCAGGGCTGTCCAAAGGAGTGTTTACTTCAGAAGTTCTGACTTGGTAGTCAGGTCACTGACCCTTCCAACTGTCAGTATTCTCAAATGGAAGAGGTTGGGGGAGGAGGAGCTCAATGAAGTGTTCTCTTGGGTCCTTTGGCTGCAACTCAAAATTTGTAATTTTCTCAATTCCCAGCTGACTTCACCACTCAGCCTGTCCAGCCCATGGCAAGTCACACACCTGACTCAGACTGGACCTTTCCTATTGCTCTGTAGTCCTTGTCACCAAAAGAAAGGACTAAAAAAAAGGCTATCAGGAACCCCAGAAGGAAGACACAAATTGTGCCCCACAAGACAGGATAAGAAGGTCTGGGCTCACCTCAATATGAGCTTTGACAGGCTGAGCCTTGTCCTAATTCTTTGGGGTTGAGCTTCAGAACACCACAGAGTGACACTTGGGTTTACATAGCCGACCTGATGGCCCGGTCTGGTACATAAAAGCAGCTGAAACGAACGGAGTGCTGTGTGGAAGGCACTGACTGCTGCAAACACCATGTAAGTCTAGTGCCACCGGTGGCTCACACCTGTAATCCTAGCTACTCAGGAGATGAGATCTGAGGAACATGGTTGATAGCCAGCCCAAGCAGAAAAGTCCAGGAGACTCTTATGTCCAGTTAACCACCAAAAAGCCATTAGTGGAGCAGTGGCTCAATTGGCAGAGGGCCAGGCTTGAAGGAAGAAGCTGAATGAGACTGCAAGACCCTGGGTAACCCATCCAGTCTTGGCAGCAATGCTCTCAGAAGGTGATTATCCTCCCCACATGACAGACACCCCAATGGGAGGACACAGGTGAATGGCCAGAGGGCACATGGCTGCTACTGTGGTTCCAACCCAGCAAATCACCCTGCACCCCCCAAACTCAGCACCTCACTTGTGTGTTCAAGTGGCACATGCTGAATGACGCATGTCAACACCCTACTGAGCAGTGTCCCAGGACTCCAGCTCCTCTCACGATCTCCCCTTTTCTGAGCCCTCAAGGTTCTCAGCCCTGGAGCTCCAACTCTTGCCTTTTGAGGCTTTCTCGCTCACAGATCACTTGTCTACTCTCAGAAATCAGGTAACAAATGCCCAAGGGGCTGAGTCAGAGATGCCTCATTGGTATGAGTCAGTATGGGAAAGAACCCTGTGTTCTTCCTACTCCATGAACTGGAAGTCAGGATGGGGCCAGGCCACACATCTCCACCTACAGCTCCCTAGACTCTCCTCCCACAGTCCCCTCCCCACACACTGCCCTTCACTCTTCCCTCCCCAAAGCAGCCTCAAGTGCCAACTCATTTCCATTATTTCCAAGTGAAGGAAGGGAGAGGAAAGCAACCCCTAT